AAAGGGAGCAAGTTGGAGGCAACCCTCAAGCCCAATATTTCTCAATATTTCTCAAAGTCTGGCGACAATCACCTGCATTAAATCACCTGGAATGCTCCTTAAAGGTACATAGTCCTGGGCTCCCCCAAGATGCATCGAATTAAAATTGGGGTGTGGCAAGACTCAAACTTGTTAACCCCCTCACCTGATTATTCTTAGGCACACTAGGTTTTGGGGACCAAAAGCAGAGGACTGAACTGTGAGAAAATAAAAAGGCTTTAAATACACGTATTTATCTATCTGTCTATCTATCTATCTGTCTATCTATCTATCTACCTATCTATCTATCTATCTATCTGAGACAGGGTCTCACTCTGTCACCCAGGGTGGAGTGCAGTGTTGCAGTCATAACTAACTGCAGTCTCTAACTCCTGGGCTCAGGCGATCCTCCCACTTTGGCCTCCCAAAGTGCTGGAATTACAGGCAATAGCCACCATGCTCAGTCTTAAAACACTTTAAATCTGATCTCCCTTCTTACCAACTCTTACTTGTAAAACAGGGTACTGGTGAACCAAACAAAACACAAGCCAATTCCCCAGTTTATGTATGTCCAAGAAAATTAAATCGTGACCCTGAGGAAAACTCATACTTTAAAATAAAAACCCCCACTCACCAAATCAACAGGCCTGGACAAAAATTAACCCAAGCATCCCATCTTAGACCCACCGACCAGATCTATTCTGAGAGATGAGAGAAGTGAGATAAGATCTTGGCTGCAGCCCCACTCTGTCCCAGCCATACCCAGTAATTCAGCTCTGCATTCCACGGCAGGGTTTAATGTTTCGGGGGGCTGGGGGAGGCAGTTCTCCTAGCTCCAGCAAATATGGCTGCGATAAGGTTATTCAGGGGAAAAAAAGGTGAGCTTCACCAACTCACCCATCTACACGAGAAAGAAAAAAATTCTAAAGAAACTGACCACACTAGGCACATGTCTGATACTCGAAAATTGTGTGAATTGAAGGAAGAAGACACCTGATGGAATAATCCTTTCGTGAGATGCTAACAGCCTGCACGTACACAATCATGAAAGAGAAAAAGAGAACAAAGAGTCAAATTGTCGTCACATCCAAAGTACGTTTTCAAAACCAGCAAGACCCAGCCTATTTAGAGGGGCAATACTTTTTCACCGACAGGCACAATGTAGGTGCCGAAAGTCCCTGGGTCTATACGTCACAGAGGAGGTCAAAGGGCTTGAAGGAAGAGCAGAACACTTTTCCACAGAAAAAGCACTCTTTCCTGGTGATGGGCAGTGGCAACCGCCAGTGCAATTTCAGAGCCAGAACTCCTCACTCAGGGAGGTGCATCACAGGGGGTCAACCTTCCTCACACCTGATGGTCCAGGACCGAGGCTTCTGCTCCACCCCTCCCCCAATGGTGGACCTGGGGCTCCGACCTCAGCGCTGAAAATTCCAGTCATCTCTGCTAAATTCTTCCGCAACAGTTCCCTACCAGATGCTGAAACTTAACATTAAGCCACAAAACTAGCAAATGGGTAGCTTTCACCACTCCCTTCGGTGACTGGCACATGCAGAGAGTCTGGCAAATTAGGCATTTAGGAAGTGACTCCAACACCCAGACCCGGTTAAAAAAAAAAAAAAGTTAAAAAAAAAATCTGTATTCTTTTCTTCAATTAGGAAGCAGGCATTTCTCTTTTAAAAGACCTTCCTGAAAGCACCTCTCCCTGGGAGCCCAGCAGATAAATAACACCAGAGCTCCCTTAAACCGATTCTAAAGCACCAGGTGCCCAGGCTGCGCTCACTCGCCGGCTTCTCCTCTGGAGGAGGGATCCGGGAAGTAACTCAACCCAGTCCTAGGCGGATAAGGATGGGGGAGTCTGCAGGTGCGAAGGGGGAGGTGAGGCAATACCGCTCAAACTTTGCAGTTGCTCTTGAACAGTTCTGGGCAGGAGCCCGAGGAATTACAGACTCAGAAGGGAGAGTCACCATCCCTAAGAGAAAGGCCCCCAAATCGGCCTAGCCCACCAGCTCTGGGTCCAGGACGGCTGTGCATCCCATCCGCTCAAACATGCCCCCCCGCCCACCGCCACCACAGGTAGCACCCTCCCCGGAGCCCCCTCACCTTGGCCTCAAAGCAGATGCCGTGCTGGAAGGCGTCCTCGTTGTGCAAGGGGATCCGCAGATCGTGCCCATCGTCCACAAGGTTGTACTTGGTTTTGCTGGGCATGGTGACCCGCAGCGGACCCGCTCCTTCGGAGACGGCGGCGGCTGCAGGAAGGGGCTGGCGAGACCCCGGGGAGGGGAGGCTGGAGCTGGG